TCATCTGCAAATAGTGTGGGTTTGAGTAGTTGTGATGCATTTGGTAGGTCATTTATGTAAATGAGAAAGAGAAGAGGGCCAAGGACACTTCTTTGTGGGACACCAACTGTAATTGGCTGTGTGGAAAAGTTTGCTCCATTTGTGTACACATATTGGCTTCTGTTGCTAAGGTACGACTTTAGATAGTTGAGACAGTGCCCTCTTATACCATAGTGAGACAATTTTATGTGCAGCAAATCATGGTCAACTGTATCAAAATTTTTTATTATTTTTTTTATTATCACACTGGCCGATTCCCACCAAGGCAGGGTGGCCCGAAAAAGAAAAACTTTCACCATCATTCACTCCATCACTGTCTTGCCAGAAGGGTGCTTTACATTACAGTTTAAACTGCAACATTAACACCCCTCCTTCAGAGTGCAGGCACTGTACTTCCCATCTCCAAGACTCAAGTCCGGCCTGCCGGTTTCCCTGAACCCCTTCATAAATGTTACTTTGCTCACACTCCAACAGCATGTCAAGTATTAAAAACCATTTGTCTCCATTCACTCCTATCAAACACGCTCACGCATGCCTGCTGGAAGTCCAAGCCCCTCGCAAAGCTTTACATAAATCAATGAAGATCCCCAATGAAACTTCTTTTTTCTCGAGTGCAGTGTATATTTGTTCTAACATGTGTATAATAGCATCATTCGCATTTTTATTAGGCCTGAACCCAAACTGACAGAGGTTGAGTATGTTGTGGGAGATGAGGTAGGAATAGATTTGCTTATGAATTAATTTTTCAAAGATTTTAGAGAGAGGGTGTAAGTTGGATATTGGCCTATAGTTATTCAAGTCTGTTTGATCTCCTCCTTTATGTATCAGGGGTGACCCTTGCTATTTTGAGAACTGTGGGGAAGGTAGAGTATTCCATGGATTTGTTAAAGAGTGTTGCAATGATTGGTGACAGCACTTGCGAAGCTTTTTTGTATATAAAGGGTGGTAAGATATTTAAATCTCCTGTCTTGTTTTTTAGTGTGTTGATAAAAAGGGAGACTTATGTTGGGTTAGTCGGAGCTAGGAACAGTGTGTTCGGGTAGTTGCCAGTGAGGTAGTCATTGGGTGGGGTATTTGAGCTTGGGGTTTTTTCGGCAAGTTTTTTCCTATGGTAGAGAAGAAAACATTGAGTCTGTTTCCTGTTTCAGTTGGTGGGAGTTGGGGTTCATCTGGTTTTGTTAGTGTGATTGCTCTGTTTCCTGATATATTTTTTGTTCCTAGAATTTCAGATAGGGTTTTCCAGGTCTTTCTTATATCACCTTTTAAGTTGGATAATCTGTTCTCATAATACAATTTTTTTGCCCTTCTTATCAGGCTGGTTAGGAGTGATGAGTAACGTTTTGTTTGGTCTCTGGTTATGTGACCCATTCTATACTGTTTTTTGTATAGGTGCTTTATATTTATGGATTTGAGGATGCTAGATGTTAGCCAGGGACTGTTCAGTCTCTTAGCTGTGATCTGTTTGGTTTTTTTAGGGCAGTGCTTGTTATAGAGGTATTGGGTCTTTTTTAGAAAATTATTAATACAGTGGACCCCGGGTTAACGATATTTTTTCATTCCAGAAGTATGTTCAGGTGCCAGTACTGACCGAATTTGTTCCCATAAGGAATATTGTGAAGTAGATTAGTCCATTTCAGACCCCCAAACATACACGTACAAACGCACTTACATAAATACACTTATATAACTGGTCGCATTGGGAGGTGATCGTTAAGCGGGGGTCCACTGTACATTCGTCAGTATCTGTATAGGTTTCTAGCTCAGTTAGCCAGTCGATGTTTGTCATTGCTGTTGTGAAGTTATTAATGGCTGCCTCATTGTGAAGTCTGAAGGTTACTTTAGTAGTGTCTTGGGATAATTTGCCTAGATTGGTTATGAGAAAGGTAGAGTAGTGGTCTGTGGTATTATCTGTGATTATGCCTGATTTTAAAGGGGATATGGTGTTGGTCCAGATGTGGTCTAATAGGGAAACACTAGTCTCTGTAATTCTTGTAGGTTTTTTTACCATTGGTAGTAACAAGCAGTTACTCATAGTGTTTGTGAATTCAGTAACGTGTGGGTCCTGGTCTTGCAGGAGATTTATATTGAAGTCACCTGAGAGTAGTAAGTGATCTTTATTCATGTGTGCGTCAGTTATCATACTTCCCAGGTTTTCACTAAAGCGGCTAATGTTTGACTGTGGTACTCTGTAGATATTTATCACTGTGAGAGGTTTTTGTAGGTATTTGGATTTGAATTTAGCTATTATATATTCCCCATGTTCATCCCTTGTGCAAGTATTAGTGATACATTCTAGTTGGTCTGAGTAGTATATAGCTGTGTCACCTCCTTGTTGATCTGGCCTACAGTTGTGTATGGCTGTGTAACCAGGAATGGCATAGATGTCTGTAGTATCTGGCTTTAGCCAGGTTTTGGTGAGAGTAATAATGGGCATACTGGCATGCAGGGAATTAAGTAATGCTGTAAGGTCATCATAATGTTTGCTTAAAGATCTGACATTGTAGTTAAAGACAGTTATGTTGTTGTTGGCTCTGAGAAGCACCTTTGTTTGTTCTGCTATGTAGTAATTACAGTTACTGTTTGATTCATTTAACTCATTCAATAAGAGGTTGGTATCAGGATCAATGCTTGTAATCATAAGATTTATAGTGGATCTATAATTAGACTTAAGTATTAGACAAAGTAAATATTCTAAAGCTAAAAAATAGCACCTGAATTATTTTAACAAATGTAAATATATGAACTAAGGTAGTTCTTTAAAGCTAAAATAAAGGAGACAATATAAAAGGGGCTAAAATAAGTAGTGGTGAACAAATAAAGTGGTAATCAAATAAGGGAACTAGGGAATTTAATATTAAAAGAATGAACGTATTACACTTTAGCACCTGAGAATAGCACCTTGATTATTTTAACACTTGTGAATATATGAACTAAGGTAGTTATTTAACCCTTTGAGGGTTTTGGTCGTACTAGTACGTCTTACGCGTAGGGGTTTTTGACGTACTAGTACTCATAAATTCTAGCGGCCTCAAATCTAGTGGGAGAAAGCTGGTAGGCCTTCATATGAAAGAATGGGTCTATGTGGTCAGTGTGCACAGTCTTAAAAAAATCCTGCAGCACACAGTGCATAATGAGAAAAAAAAAACTTTGACCATTTTTTTTGAATAAATCAGCGACTTTGCAGTGTATTTTCGTATGGTATTTATTGTTGTATTCTAGTTTTCTTGGTCTCATTTTATAGAATGGAAGACATATTACAGAAATTGAGATGATTTTGACTGGTTTTACAATGAAAGGTGCCTTGAAATTGAGCTCAAAGTAGCAGAAATGTTCGATTTTTACCAAACTTCAAAAGTAAACAAATCGTGCCAAGCGTGCAATACACGTCAACTGGTGAGTCTAATATTCTTTCACAAGTGCACCAATAATATTTATACCATTTTTTACACTAATGCAGTAGTCTGCATAACAGTAAATCTTATATTTTTTGTGAAAATAAAAATTCAAAGTGGAAAGCAAAAGAATATAAGAGGGGCCTTGAGACGTGACTAATGACTAGAGGAAATGTCATTTTAGTGCCAGGAATGTCTTTCTTGTTTATTCTGGACCCTATTCGGAAATTGGCATCTTTTGAAATTTGTGTGAAATTGGCAAAATTGCTAAATTCTGACCACTGTACTGGATAGTTGAATTTCATAAATGGGTGGTTTCTTGCACCCATTCGATAGAAAAAATGGAGTTCTAGCGAAATATTCATGTTTTTTATCGACTAGTACAGTGAAATTGGCCGAAAATGGGGCTCAACGTGGGCAAAAACGCCGATGCGTAAACATCGCCGAGACCGCTAACTTTGCGAGAGCATAATTCCGTAAGCTTTCTATCAAATTTCAAACTTTTGGTGTCTTTATGATCGGGAAAAGATTCTCTATCTTTTCATAAGAGAAAATAATTTTTTTTTTTTTTAAATTTGGCCGACCCTGAGAACGAGTTTCGGAGAGGGCCTGTCGACCCTCAAAGGGTTAAATCTAAAATAAAGGAGAAAATATACAAGGGACTGAACTAAGTAATGGTAAACAAAGTTAAATGGACAGATAGTCATTATGATATAATATTGACTTGGAAGGTCCTGGAGGGATTGGTACCAAACCTGCACACGAAAATCACTCCATATGAAAGCAAAAGACTCGGCAGGAGACACATTATTATTATTATTATAATAATCAAAAAGAAGTGCTAAACCACAAGGGCTATACAGCTCGCAACATTCCCCCAATGAAAAGCAGGGGTGCCACGAGTACACTGAGAGACAACACAGTAAGTGTCTGGGGCCCAAGACTGTTCAATTGCCTCCCAGCATACTTAATGGGGATTACTAATAGACCCCTGGCTGTCTTCAAGAAGGCACTGAACAGGCACCTAAAGTCAGTACCTGACCAACCAGGCTGTGGTTCATACATCAGCTTGCGTGCCACCAGCAGTAACAGCCTGGTTGATCAGACCCTGATTGGCCATGAGGCCTGGTCTCAGACCAGGCCACGGGGACATTGACCCCCGAAGCCCTCTCCAGGTAAACCTATTTTCCATTTTTTATATGTTCTTTGATATGGCTTATAGAAAAAGGTACCCTAGAAATCATATCTTTTACAGTTAGTTTTATGTCAAGTCACAGATTGACTAGACTTTTGGTCAGGTGACCAAACACTCCACTGAGCAGGTCATCATGTGACTCTGCAATAAGGTCTGCATCAGGAGAAATTCTGACAAACTAACAATCCTGCAACCCTCTATGAAGATATTGTTAGGTTTGAACATGTGTGTTAGACTAATTATTCAAATTTCTGTGTAAATCTACAGGAAAATTATGAACCTCTTCATCTATGATAGTTTTGGTTCACTGCTCTAGTACATAACTAAGCATTAGTGACAGTGATATTTTAACTTTTATTCTTGTTGCTTCACAGGTCACCGAAACATTGTCAAAATCTCTGACTTTGGCATGTCACGGGAGGAAGAGGAATATATTGTCAGTGATGGTATGAAACAAATTCCCATCAAATGGACTGCTCCAGAGGCTCTTAACTTCGGTGAGTTTTTAGTGAAAAATAATAAAATTGACTGTAAGATACAGACTTTCACATTTTCAGGAAAAATCTGAATTTAGATTTTATTGTAGACCTTTTAATATAATGTTTACAACTTACAGTACAACACTTTGAATGTAAGATAGAAGGTTTAACCCTTAAACTCTCCAAACGTAGATCTACTTTTATACCACTAGTGCTCCAAATGTATATACGTATATGTTTTATTTTTCCTGCCTCCAAATTTGGCACAATTGGCCTGAGATGCCTGGTCAGTATAGAATGGATCTTAACACTCAGAGTGTGCAGTATTAAAAAAATCTGGGACCACTTAGTACCTTGTGGGAGCACCAGCTCAATTGAGTGCCAGCTAGAGCAAATAGCATGGCAAACGCCAGGAATTCACTAATGTCATGTCGTATTAACACTCCCCTTTTAAGAGGAAAGTGATGTTGACCCAGAGTTTAGTGGCTTTGAGATGGATGTGGTCACAAATGGTTGAGGAAATATCAAAAACCTCAATAATAACCCATGTGCAACATCTTTTCATTTCTGATACCACTGGTAGTGTCATCCTACCAGAATATCCTATAACCTTTGCCCTAAGTAAAGAAAAATGATTCTGGAACATGTGTAATAAGTATTCTGCAGGCTGTCTGTCTGGCTGTCTGGCTGTCTGGCTGTCTGCCTGTCTGTCTGTCTGGCTGGGCTGGGCTGGGCTGAGCTGGGCTGGGCTGGGCTGGGCTGGGCTGGGCTGGGCTGGGCTGGGCTGGGCTGGGCTGGGCTGGCTGGGCTGGCTGGGCTGGCTGGCTGGCTGGCTGGCTGGCTGTCTGTCTGTCTGTCTGTCTGTCTGTCTGTCTGTCTGTCTGTCTGTCTGTCTGTCTGTCTGTCTGTCTTTGTCTGTGTGTCTCTGTCTGTCACGGGTACACATAAGTACAATTATTACACAAAATGTAAATTACCTAGGATAACCAAAAAAAATCCAGGCAAAGTGCTATACAGGGCTTGTAGATATAAGGCATAATAAGCATGACTGGCAAGTAATACGCATTTCACTTGCTCAGGAATCAGACTTGACGACTGCATCATGTGTAATACCTGTGGTTTATGAGCCACTCCCTGAGACAGAGAGACAAGCAGAAGGAAAGACAGACACATACAGGCAGACAGATGAGCAGAGCTAGACAGACAGATACAGACAAATAGACAGACACAGACAGACAGATACAGACAAATAGACAAACACAGACAGACAGACATGTTTGTGTGTAACAGTGAAAACAAATAAAGCCAGGGTTCCCTGGAACAGTGCACGTTCATCAAGTGTCACTCCTCTGCTACACTCAGAAGTTTAGTGACACTCATCTTAACACCATGCTTCAAGGAGTTTTGTATATACTCCAGCATGTCTAAAACATTGCTGAGACTTATAAATACAGTGGACCCCTGCCTTACGAACGCATTGTGTTACGTTAAATCTGCCTTACAAAGCATTTCAATGCAAAAATTTTGCCTCGCCTCACGATAAAAAACTCGCCTTATGTAATTCGTGCGGGACGCGTCCCACGTGTGGCCTCAGCACCAGTGTTTACAAGCCACCCAGCACGGTCGCATCTACGCATACATTCGGTACATTTCACATTATCCCAGTGTTTTTAGTACAGTGGAACCTCAAAAATCGAACTTAATCCATTCCAGGAGCTAGTTCTAAATTTGAAAAGTCTGAAATTCGAAGCAATATTTCCCATAAGAAATAATGGAAATACAATTAATCCATTCCAGAAACCCAAAAATATTCACACAAAACATACATTTTATAGAGATTAATTACAGTTTTACATACAACAAATACTATAGTTTTTAATTATGTATAGTAATACATATAAAATAACATTTTTACTTACCTTTATTGAAGATTGGTGATGGCATCTGGAAGATAGGGAGGAGGAGAGAGGGAGTTGGGGTTAGTGTTTGGAAGGAGAATCCCACTCCATGAGAACTTCAGGTAAAGCCCTCTCTGGGGTTACTTCCCTTCTCTGTCTTTTAATGCCACTAGGACCAGCTTGAGAGTCACTGGACCCCTGTCTCACAAAATAACTGTCCACAGTCCTCTGTTTCTGGTGCCTCTTTAACATTTCCCTAAAATGGGACATGGTTCTGTCACTGAACTTGTTGCAAAGATGGCTTGTTTCAGCTTGCTCAGGGTGGTACTTCTGCACAAACATTTGGACATCATTCCACTTGGCACAAATCTCCTTATTCTTTGAAGAAGGCACCTCATCCACTCCCTATATTAACAACTTTCGCAACATCAGCTTCCTTGATTTGTTCTTTCTTTGACAGGATAGAACTGATGGTCGACTTGTTCTTCCCATACATCCTGGCAAGCTCAACGAATCTCACACCACTCTCATACTTCTGTATTATTTCCTTCTTCACATCTATGGTGTTTCTCACTTTCTTTACCACAGGGGTACCACTAGCAAGTTTCTTTGGGCCCATGGCAGCTTATTTCACAGTCTCACAAGCACTAAACACAAAAAGAAATAATCGTGTGAATGAGAGCGCAGGTTAGTGTTCACTCAAGCATAAACAAAGCTAGACTGCTCATGGCGCCTGCGCAGGGATGCGGACAGAGCGGGTGGCAGACAGGTCCTGTACCCAGCGGTCCGAAAATAGGGGCGCATTCGTTAATAGGGACACAGTTTGTCCGAAAAAATGGTCCTATTTTCGAAACGTTCGATATGTGATACGTTCGATTTTTGAGGTTCCACTGTACAGGTCTCCCTCAACATTCACGTTTTCAGCTTTCGCGGGCTTCACACATTCGCAAATTCCCAACCGCCAAATTCCCAGCCACCAAATTCCCAGCCGCCAAATCATATTCAAGTTTCCCGCCACCTGCGAGTCCCTACTACCCTCCCTCTGACCCCCGCAACTGGCAGCCAGCCCTCCCACCGCTCAGTGTGGTGAGTGTTTTGTTTGTTCATTATTTGCTATTAAACTACAGTATAAATAATGTAAACACATTCATGACTGCATATTGGAATGGCTATTTGAACAGGTATTGGACGGTGACATCATGTGTTTACTCTTGAACACAGCAAAGAATCAAACATTTCTGCTACTGCTAATAATAACAATAGTAATAATAATAATAATAATAATAATAATACGATATAATTGAAGAAGGAAATTGTACAAAAATACGAGGGAGTGGTTGACACATCGTCAGTGTGGCTTTGTTTATGCTGGAGTGAACATTAGTCTCCCTGCTCTTCCAACCATTTCACAATAATTCATTGTTTGGTGCTTGTAGATTGAGTGTGACTGGAGTGGTTGAGGCAGTGGTAGAGGCAGTGGTAGAGGCAGTGGTAGAGGCAGTGGTAGAGGCAGTGATAGAGGCAGTGGTAGAGGCAGCAATAGAGGCAGTGATATTTACTAACATATATGTTATAAATAATAATAGTACATTATGAATAACATTTATTATTATTATTATAAATGTTATTAATATTAACATGTACTATTATTATTTATAACATACGTATATGTTAGTAAATACCACTGCCTCACCCACTGCCTCTATCACTGCCTCTATCACTGCCTCTATCACTGCCTCTATCACTGTCTCTATCACTGCCTCTATCACTGCCTCTATCACTGCCTCTATCACTGCCTCTATCACTGTCTCTATCACTGTCTCTATCACTGCCTCAACCGCTGAATTATTGTGAAATGTTTGGAAGAGCAGAGAGACTAATGTTCACTCCAGCATAAACAAAGCCACACTGACGATGTGTCAACCACTCCCTCGTATTTTTGTACAATTTCGTTCTTCAATTATATCGTATTATTATTATTATTATTATTATTATTATTAATTATTATTATTATTATTATTATTATTATTTATTATTATTATTACTATTGTTATTATTAGCAGTAGCAGAAATGTTTGATTCTTTGCTGTGTTCAAGAGTAAACACATGATGTCACCGTCCAATACCTGTTCAAATAGCCATTCCAATATTCAGTCATGAATGTGTTTACATTATTTATACTGTAGTTTAATAGCAAATAATGAACAAACAAAACACTCACCACACTGATGGTGGGAGGGCTGGCTGCCAGTTGCGGGGGTCGGAGGGAGGGTAGTAGGGACTGGCATTGGTTGAGGAAGTGGTGGAGGCAGTGGTGGAGTCTGTGGTATTTAATAACATACATGTTATTAAAGCATAACATGTATATATTTAGTACAACTTACGATGTTTTCATGTATTTTATGATTGTTCATGGTTCAACAAGTTAAGCAGTATTGTATTATATTTCCCTACAATATATTGGGGCACCAAACATTCACGGTTTTTCAACATTCGCGAGGCTCTTGATCCCCTAACCCTCGCGAATGTTGAGGGACACCTGTACTTGTAACTGCAAAATAAGTCACCATGGACCCCAAGAAAGCTTCTAGTGCCATCCCTGTAGTAAAAAGGGTGAGAATTAGTATGGAATTGAAAAAAGAGATTAAGGAAGTGTGTGCAAAGTGGGTTGAACTGCAAACCTTTACGGATGAAAATCACCCTGACACAGCTACTGCAAGCCGTGTTGGCAACCTGTACAATGACAAAGTTATGGCCCATTTTAGGAAAGTCTTAAAGGAACAGGAGGTACAGAGCTCTATGGACAAATTTGTTGTGCGACAGAGGTCCAGTGACTCTCAAGCTGGTCCTAGTGGCATTAAAAGAAGAAGGGAAGTAACCCCGGAAAAGGACTTGATACCTCAAGTCCTAATGGAAGGGGATTCCCCTTCTAAACAATAACTTCCACACTCTCCCCTCCTCCCATCCCATCAACCATCACCAGATCTTCAACAAAGGTAAGTGTCATGTATTCTATTCTTAGTAGAGTAGTAATTGTGCATGTCTTCTTCAGTTTGTGTGTATTAAAATTAATATTTCCTGTGGTAAAAAAAAATTTTTTTTCATACTTTGGGGTGTCAGGAACGGATTAATTTGATTTCCTTTATTTTTTATGGGGAAAATTAATTCGGCTAACGATAATTTCAGCTTACAATGAGCTCTCAGAAACGGATTAATATCGTAAGGCGGGGGTCCACTGTACTTTCTATATATATTTCTAGATAGTAATAAATGACCAAGGCAGGTGAAAATGTTCACCTGCCTTGGTGTTTGTGACTATTTGAGTACTATTTCAGTACCTAATATTTGTGTCAGAACAAAGATTGGCTATGAAATCACAAGAACTACTATAAATTGTAATTATCAGAAAATAAAAATTATATAAAATAAAACAAAAATGAGAAAAAAAGGTATATCGGCAACGCTTCTGCAAGCTGCAGGACTCGATGTTGCCATCAGGTAAGCATCCAGCGCAAACTTTGCAATCCTATATCTTGGTAATTACTGATCCTTTTTTTTTTTTGGGTCTTATTACACACAGAAAATTGCCCTCTTTATTTTTTTTTTTTTTTTCAAAATATTTGCAGTGCTGGCAGTGAAAATGTAGATCTACATTTGGACAGTTTAAGGGTTAAAGGCATTTTTGGCAGAGATTGTTGTAAAAAGTTATATAATTTGCTATGTATATGCAAATCCTAAATTTTATTTGGTGAGTCTTCAGTTTTCTTTCTATTATGCTTCGCCAAGCTTATAAAAAGTACGTGTTCCACTACCACTATAGTTTTCTGATTGTTTTTTTTTTCCTTTAGTACACCATAAGGTGTTGTTTTACATAAATGATGTAACAAGTAATTAAGTACATCACTCAAAGGAGTTTCTTCATTCAAAGTATTTTTTTGGCCAGGCAAGTACACGTCCTTGTGTGATGTTTGGAGCTATGGCGTGCTGTGCTGGGAGATCTTCTCCTCAGGAGAAGTGCCTTATCATGGCTACTCCAACACGAAAGCCAGAGAGATGATTGATTCAGGTATTTTTTTTATAATACAGTTGAATATTTAAAACAAGGGTTTAAGCCAGGGGTCAGCAACCTGTGGCCTGTGGGCCAGATCTGGCCCATGGGCCATAGATCAATTGATGTTAAATATGTCTGAGTTTAGTATGTATTATTACCTATATTTAATAACTATGGCGATAGGTGTGGCCTGCCATCCACTCACAGACATGGGCCCTGGCCCCTAGGCAGAACAAGGTTTAAGCAATGACTAGTAGAGGTTGCCAGCATGCAGTTGGTGTAATTATAGTGATACAGTACAGTACTAATGTAATGAATTTCAAGATTGTTGGATATTCCTCTGTCTAGAGTTTAGCCCCTTAAAAACTTAACTGTTATGCATGTATAAATTCTTATTATTTACACTGCATATTCCAGGTTTTTTTTTTTAACAAGTTGGCCGTCTCCTACCAAGGCAGGGTGACCCAAAAAGAAAGAAAATCCCCAAAAAGAAAATACTTTCATCATCATTCAACACTTTCACCTCACTCATACATAATCACTGTTTTTGCAGAGGTGCCCAGATACAACAGTTTAGAAGCATATACATATAAAGATATAGAACATATCCCTCCAAACTGCCAATATATTTTTAATAATTATCTTGTGTTTTCCTCTAAGTTTTCTTACTATTACTGTGTGATGCCTTGAATAACTTAGCTATTGTCATTCTGTCACAAGTAAACTGATCCTACTCCTTTCCTTCACTCCTTAGTAAATATTCCCTTCTGCTTCTTTATTTATGTTAACTGACTTGGCAATTTCAGGATACCGTATGCTGGCACCACCCAACACCCCAGAGGAGATGTATCAACTAATGCTCAAATGCTGGCAGTATGACCCTGAGAACAGACCTCACTTCCCAGAGATATATGCCGCTGTCGACAACATATACTCTTCGCTATAGCAAAGTGTGCTCTTAGAATTATAAAGTAATTCATTATAGTGATATTCCCTGTAGTGAAACTTTTATATGAATATTTCTGGTGATAATGTTAGAATGTGTATGGAGTTGTTTGATATATGTACTGTATATGAAAGTATCTTACGAGTTGTAGATTGGAAGTTCTGAAAATGCAAGTACTGTACCTGTGCCTTGCAACTGTGTATTGGATACTGAACTGCCACAGGTTGTATATAAGTTTCAGCAGTGATTAATGGCTGCAATACTTTTACATTGAACAATGAACATTTGCTATTACATCCTATATGTTCATAATATATTTGTTATGTGACTTGTAATTTTGGCTTACAGTACTGGTTGTGTTTAAATTTTCTGAATTTAAGCTTTGTGGTTATGGGTTTGCAGTATATGTGAATATATTATGTAGATTTTTAAATTAATGAGGAGGAATTCTCTAATGCTCAGTAAAGGTAATTTTGACAAAATTATGTCAAAACAAATCCATTATGATATCTTTCTAAGATTTTTGGCATATGTTAATAGCTAGGCTAATAATTATCATAAAAGACAATTTTTTTATCAATGGTTGATAGTGAGGAAAAAATATTGCTATGTCATTCTAATAATTAGTTAGTGTATTATAACTTGGTCACAATCAGCTCTGCAGAATTAGGGCATAATAGTGCTTGGTCTATTGTTACAAAGAGCTCAACAGTAGCAACTATATAAAGACAGTAGCATATGCAAGCCTGTTAAGTGGGTGCTTCTGGTCCATCAGCTTCCTGTATAATGCCTTTCATGATGAACTTTATGGTGCATATTTCTATCATAGATGAATATGATGCTGTTATACTTTAGTAGAGACATATCACATAACATTGTGGCTGTATTGGTGGAGGAGCTTTCAGCTTTTGAATGTGTAGCTACACCAGTGCATACTCTAGCACTCTCATCATAAAATAGTGTCACGTTCATTATGTGTAATTAATCTGTTGAACATAACAAATGCTGTTCAAAGCACACTGAATTAATTACAAGTATAACTTTTCTTTTTGTTTTCAGTTATTGCTTACTTTAGAACTGACATAACTGACATTTTCTCATTTAGTAGAAAACCAGACAGTATAAATACTGCATCTGCATTTAGATATTTAAATTTTATTTATATAATTTCGACTGAACTGACACCTTGAGTTATGTATCAGTAAATTAATTTACTGATAAATATATACTCCGTATGAACTGTCTTTTATGAACTGACACCGCAAACTCTGACAATTTTGTTATCAAGAAGAAACCTTTGGTATTGTTGAGATACCATGTATGTATTAATATGTTGATGTTCCCTGTGATTAATACTGAACTTTGGTATCAAAAATAATTAATATGAATAAATTGAAGATTTGTCACAAGTGTTGACTGAGCAATAAGAATTCATAACTTATGGTATATGTGAGCCAGTTGAAATATTCAGTGAATAGATACAATGCAAAAGTTTTTTCTTTTTATAGTCTGGCATTATTATTATCTTTGTTATTAATTAAACTTTAAGCCTATTATTAAACAAGGTTACTGTAAACTTGGTGATGAATATGGACTCAAGAAAATTTTCTCAATATAGAAAGCCTTAATCTATTTATTTTTTAACTCCAGCTGTTAATTATAGTTTTGTATTAGAATAATATTGGAGTAGGTTATATATACAGTACAGTACTTCATTACTGTACATACTTTATAATTTTGAGTTATAATATCTGTTGTTCAAAAAAATTATTATCAGCAATGAATATTATTATTATTATTATTGTTATTATTATTATTATTATTTTTTCTTATTATATAGTTTTACAATACAACTGTTCTCTAAATAAGTGCAATATAAAAAACTGCATTGTAAATTTTGGAAAAATATCTATTTTGAAAGGTAATCCAACCACTTGTTAATTTTGAAGATACATGTGTATAAAAATGGCAGCAGACATGTCTTTTGTGTATTGATGATACTGTACACTTGTTTTAACCTGTTTTTAACCAAAATGTCTTGTGTACATGGCAGGTTTTGCCATTTTCCCTCTGCAGTCTACAAGAAATTAGCAGATAAATTTGGCAACAAGGATAAAAGAGTGCCATACAATTGCTATGTACTAATTAGATGTGTGCCATGAAAAATGATGGGATATTCAAATGAAACAAATAATTTGTGAGATTTGTTGCATGTGCTTCTGTGTGTTTGTGTGTGTCTCTGTGTCTGTGTCTGTGTCTGGTAGTCACTCGTAAGTGCATGTTAGATATGTGTTTGTATGGCTCTGTACATGTAGTCGCGTATACTTGTATGTGCATGCATCTCTTTATTTGTAATTATCGTTGCTGGTTGGGCTGTGGATGTGTCTTAAGTGTAGTATCATGAAACAAAGTTATTAAAAAGTGTGTAAATAGAAGGACTGTAAAAAAATATTACTGGATTATTAATATAATTGGCTTTACTGTATAAATATAATTTTTAACAAAATAAATTTTCAAGTACATATTGTATATGCACTCAAAATAGATCAGTTTACAGGTTATAATTATTCTGCAAATGACAGTTTATATCATGACTTTTGAGTATGGTAAAGATTATATATGTATTGTCTGTACATACACTATACATTGTATGCACATACCATACATACAGTTTTTTTGGTTTAGTAAATTTGTTATATTCAAACAGTATGTTATTTGAAACTATTCACATTTGTTTTCTGATTGATTTATTTCATGTGCATTTTTATGGTATATGTTTCATGCATCATTAAAAACTTTGACTATTGCAATAAATTTTTAGAAGTGTGTGGAACAAAAAAGTTAATGATTGGTATATTATAATTACTGTAATATATTTGTTATAGAATAATTCGAGAGCTTCAGTTAATTAATTTTCATCTTCAGATTTGAGAAATAAATCCTTGTGTATGTAACATTGTTTGTATATGTGTATTATATATCTAGTCCACTAACATATTTGAAGATAAGAACAACTGTGGAATTGTTGTTTACGTGATCTGCTGCATCCCAGTAGACACCGTTTTGTATATATCTGCCGCTGCCTATTAATATTTTTCTTAGTTTATACTTATTTGTTTTATAACTGTTGATGTTTATACAACCAGTGTGTTATAATTAATAAGAGAGATTGAAGTGTGGATTATTTATGTTCACAATAATTATGCAGTACTGTACCCTCCATAAGGGTAAGAAAAGATATAGTATTGCAGTTGTGCATAAAGTCTTTGTGGGAACAATTCTGTGAGTGTTATTGCAACATTTAAATTGTCTGATTGAAGGTATCTGAATTTGTATGTGACTGCCATATCATAAGATGTATTATATCTGAAAATGAAGTCAGTGTATCTTTGGAGAATTTTTGGTAATGTATTAACTGAAGCGTCATAAACCGGATTGACAAATTCAACATCTGAACTTTGTTAAAAACAGCCTTTTGACAGTATTTCACTTTTGCAGTTGACTTTTGCCATACATCAGGAGACCAGACTGTCCAGTGTATGTTGTATGCCTTCACATATCCCACCTGCAACCATTTTATGTACTCAGTGTTGTGGATCACCTTCTACCTCCTTAAGTCTGGAAACAAACTCTAGGACTAGGCGGGTCCACACAGTATATGGGTAATATTGCCTCAGTAGCACGTGTAAACAGCAACAACAACCAGAATCTGTATTGCTACTACCAGCTTCCCTGCCAGCAAACAGGGTGTGGAACTGGCAGGAAGATGCCTTACTTGTTTCAGATTTATTACAATTGCATGATATCATCAGTGGAATTCAGTCATAAAGTACACTAAATAAATTTCTTCTTCTTTCAACAGACTGGCCATATCCCACCCAGGCAGGGTGGCTCAATGGGAAAAAAACGAAAGTTTCTCCTTTTAAATTTAGTAATATATACAGAAGGGGTTGCTAGCCCCTTGCTCCTGGCATTTTAATCGCCTCTTATGACACACATGGCTTACGTAAGAAGAATTCCATTCCACTTCCCCATAGAGATAAGCAGAAATAAACAAGAACTAGTAAGAAAATAGAAGAAAATCCAGAGGGGTGTGTATATATATGCATGTGCATGCATATGTAGTGTGATCTAAGTGTGAGTAGAAGTAGCAAGACATACCTGATATCTTGCATGTTTATGGGACAAAAAAGATGCCAGCAATCCTACCATTATGTATTATTATGTATTATTATTATTATTCTTTCTTTCTTTCAACACACCGGCCGTATCCCACTGAGGTGGGGTGGCCCAAAAGGAAAAACAAAAGTTTCTCCTTTTACATTTAGTAATATATACAGGAGAAGAGGTTACTAGCCCCTTGCTCCCGGCATTTTAGTCGCCTCTTACAACACGCATGGCTTACGGAGGAAGAATTCTGTTCCACTTCCCCATGGAGATAAGAGGAAATAAACAAGAATAAGAACTAGAAAGAAAATAGAAGAAAACCCAGAGGGGTGTGTATATATGTGCTTGTACATGTATGTGTAGTGTGACCTAAGTGTAAGTAGAAGTAGCAAGACGTACCTGAAATCTTGCATGTTCATGAGACAGAAAAAAGGACACCAGCAATCCTACCATCATGTAAAATTATTATTATTATTATTATTATTATTATTATTATTATTATTATTATTATTATTATTATTATTATTATTATTATTATCAGAGAAAGCGCTAAACTGACAAGGGTCATACAGTGCTGCTACCATTATGTACAACAATTACAGGCTTCTGTTTCACACTCACTTGGCAGGATGGTAGTACCTCCCTGGGCAGATGCTGTCTACCAACCTACTATCTAGAACTAAATAAATTTCTCTAAGAATAATCTAATAAAGTAAAACAGTGTGATTTGTTTCAGTGTTTCAAGGAGCATCACACCTCAAAAGGGTGTGGAACTGGTCAGAAGAGGTCTTATTTGCTCCAAATTTACTGCAATTTCATGATCCTACTGTAACTAAAAGTCACAATTTCATGATGCTAACAGCAGAATTCAGCCAAAAAACACTAATGTAGATTTAACTTAGGATAACTTATTTGTCAAATGCTGTGACTTATTTCCAAGTTTTGAGGAGTTTTATATCTTGAAATAGTTGTAACATCATAACATTTCCTTGTATGAGTGTTAGAAGACAAAAATAATCTTTAGAATTAAGAAAAAAAAAATTTTTTACCTGTTTATGGTGAATTCTCCATGGGAAAATGGAACAGAATTCTTCCTCTTAGGACAAGCCATGCTTACAACAAACCATGCTGGTCGTAAGAGGCAACTAAAATGCTGAAAGCAAGGGGCTAGTAATCCCTTCTGTATAAATTACTAATTTTAAAAAGAAAAACTTTTGCTTTTCTGTTTAGGTCACCCTGCCTCAGTGTGATATGGCCGGTTTGTTAAAAAAAATAATTATGATGAATATTGGAAGTCGAGCTATAATGCCATGAATCTCTACATATTTCAGATACTAAAACACCTTGAAGCACATCTGTCATCATAATGGAAAACATAAACAAAATTGAAAAATTATCATAATTTGGCATAAATAAATGGAAAAAACTACTATGCACATTTATACTGATATTGCTAATGAGTGATTTTTTCACTATCTTCATCACACCACAAAAATTAATTTTCCTTTGATTTCAGTTTTATTTATAGCAACATTTAGTAAATAGGTTCTTTTAATCTGTAAGAAAAATCGTTTAATAATTGTGCCTTACACAATTTTTTTTTCCAGATTTGCCACAGTTGAAGAACTGAAAAAGTAATATTTTTTTCTAATTTTACTGGATTTAGTGCCTCGTCTGATTATGTTTTTATTTTCTAATTTTAATCTATTTTCATATAAGTAAGTAGTATTTTAAGGCTGTTTTTACAAAAGTTTAGATGTTGATAGTATCATTCCATTTTGTGACACCTCATTAAGACTTACAATATTATTTTAACTTCATTCTTCATTATTTTATAATGCAGTAATTACATTGTTGATTACATGAGGAGTGGGACACAACAGCAATAAGCTTTGCAATATCCAATTTTTTATATTTGGTTTCACCGCTAAATACCAGATCACACATTTTTTTGCCTCTTCTGCCAACTATTAACTAACACACAACCTGTTCTTGTTATTCTCTGTAAGTCAATTTTCCATTAAAATATTTAATGCCGAAATGGAAAATAACTACCCTTCACCAGCAGTCTCCATTACAGCTCCTAGAATAATGCCGTTGCAAAAGACATTGAAAGTCAATGTAAATTATGGCACTGATGCTCAACTTTAATCAAAATTTTTAATCTGTTAGTTTTTCTATGTTATTAAATGTTATGTTGGTGTGGTTGTAATTTCAGCTGTTGATTGAGTTAGTGCTGAGGAAGTTGAGCTATAGTTCGTGGACCTACTACATAACTAACTGAAGAAGTTGAGCTATGTTTGCTGCCTGAATGGCTGCTTGGCTAGTTGCCTGCATGCCTCCTGCCTATTCTCTCTGCCTCTCTCTCTCTGTCTGTCTGTCTGTCTCTCTCTCTCTCTCTCTCTCTCTCTCTCTCTCTCTCTCTCTCTCTCTCTCTCTCTCTCTCTCTCTCTATCTCTATCTCTCTCTCTCTATCTCTCTCTCTGTCTCTCTCTCGTCTCTCTCTGTCTCTCTGTCTGTCTCTCTGTCTGTCTCTCTGTCTGTCTCTCTGTCTGTCTCTCTGTCTGTCTCTCTGTCTGTCTCTCTTCTGTCTCTCTGTCTCTCTGTCTCTCTCTCTGTCTCTCTCTCTGTCTCTCTTCTGTCTCTCGTCTCTCTCTTGTCTCTCTCTCTGTCTCTCTCTCTGTCTCTGTCTCTCTGTTCTCTCTCTGTCTCTCTCCTCTCTCTCTTCTCCTCTCTCTCTCTGTCTCTCTCTCTGTCTCTCTCTCTGTCTCTCTCTCTGTCTCTCTCTCTGTCTCTCTCTCTGTCTCTCTCTCTGTCTCTCTCTCTCTCTCTCTCTCTCTCTCTCTCTCTCTCTCTCTCTCTCTCTCTCTCTCTCTCCCCCCCCCCTTTTTTTTTACACAGGGTTTGACAAGGTTAGGTTAAGGATCCCTAGCTTTATTGACAAGCTGTTTACAGGTTAAGGATTCCTAACTTTATTGACAAGCTAAGAACTGTTACCTACATCAGCTCATTTGAAAGCATTTTTATTGTTATGAAACATACAAGTAGGGAACGGGATGAAGTTGGAGCCATCTGTAGACCAGAATTTTCATCTGATCAACTGACTTTATCTCGTTGACATCATTATGCTGTACGAATGTGTTCCAGACTCGAGTCATCCTGGGAGTCGTTCCAGCAAGTACAGGTTCAGGAACTTCAAGCGCTCCCAGTAATTAAGGTGTTTTATCTCCGTTATACGTGCCGGGAAGGTTCTCTGTACATTTTCTAGGTCAGCAATTTCACCTGCCTTGAAAGGTGCTGTTAGTGTGCAGCAATATTCCAGCCTAGATAGAACAAGCGACCTGAAGAGTGTCATCATGGGCTTGGCATCCCTAGTTAGAACATAAGAACATAAGAATGGAGGAACACTGCAGAAGGCCCACTGGCAGATGGGAGGCAGGTCCTTATCAAAATGACCTCTACCTAAAGCTACCCAAGAAATAACTCCCGTACCCAATGACACCAATCAAACCCAGCCCCTCCCACTCATATATTTGTCCAATCTCTTCTTAAAGCTACCCAAGGTCCCAGCCTCTATCACCCTACTGGGAAGACTGTTTCATGCATCTACAACTCTGTTAGAAAGCCAGTACTTACCTATGTCCTTTCTGTCATTTTTCTAGCAGATGCGATTGATACAATGTTATGGTCCTTGAAGGTGAGATCCTCCGACATGATCACTCCCAGGTCCTTGACGTTAGTTTTTCACTCTATTTTGTGGCCGGAATTTATTTTGTTCTCTGATGAAGTTTTAATTTCCTCATGTTTACCATATCAAAGTAATTGAAATTTCTCATCATTGAACTTCATATTGTTTTCTGCAGCCCATTGAAAGATATTGTTGATGTCTGCCTGGAGCCTTGCAGTGTCTGCAATGGAAGACACTGTCATGCAGATTCGGGTGTCATCTGCAAAGGAAGACACGGTGCTGTGGCTGACATCCTTGTCTATGTCAGATATGAGGATGAGAAACAAGATGGGAGCGAGTACTGTGCGTTGTGGAACAGAGGTTTTCACCGTAGCCACCTCAGACTTTACTCTGTTGACTACTACTCTTTGTGTTCTGTTTGTGAGGAAATTATAGATCCATCTACCAACTTTTCCTGTTATTCCTTTAGCACGCATTTTGTGCGCTATTACGTCATGGTCACACTTGTCGAAGGCTTTTGCAAAGTCTGTATATATTACATCTGCATTCTTTTTGTCTTCTAGTGCATCTAGGACCTTGTCATAGTGATCCAGTAGTTGAGACAGACAGGAGCGACCTGCTCTAAACCCATGTTGCCCTGGGTTGTGTAATTAATGGGTATCTAGATGGGTGGCGATCTTGCTTCTTAGGACCCTTTCAAAGATTTTTATGATATAGGATGTTAGTGCTATCGGTCTCTAGTTCTTTGCTATTGCTTTACTGCCCCTTTTGTGGAGTGGGGCTATGTCTGTCTTTTTAGTAACTGTGGGACGACCCCTGTGTCCATGCTCCCTTTCCATGGGATGGTAAAAGCTCGTGATAGGGGCTTCTTGCAGTTCTTGATGAACACGAAGTTCCATGAGTCTGGCCCTGGGGCAGAGTGCATGGGCATGTCATTTATCACCTGTTCGAAGTCATTTGGCGTCAGGATGACATCAGATAGGGTTGTGTTAACCAAATTCTGTGGCTCTCTCATAAAAAATTCAAAATTCTCAGTCTGATTAGCAGCTTGCTAAAAACTGAGTCATATTGGGACTTGAGTAGCTCATTCATTTCCTTGCTGTCATCTGTGTAGGACCCATCTTGTTTAAGTAGGGGCCCAATACTGGATGTTGTTCTCAACTTTGATTTAGCATAAGAAAAGAAATACTTTGGGTTTCTTTTGATTTCATTTATGGCTTTTAGTTCTTCCCGCGATTCCTGACTCCTATAAGATTCCTTTAGCTTAAGTTTGATGTTTGCTATTTCTTTGATCAGTGACTCCCTATGCATTTGAGATATATTGGCCTCTTTTAGCCGCTCTGTTATTCTTTTCCGTCGCCTGTAAAGGGAGCACCTGTCTCTTTCTATTTTACATCTACCCCTCTTTTTTTCTTAAAGGAATAAGCCTTCAGCATACATCGAGTGCCACCGAGTTAATCTGTTCTAGGCATAAGTTGGGGTCTGTGTTGCTTAGTCTATCTTCCCAGCTTATATCGTTTAGGACTTGGTTTACTTGGTCCCACTTTATGTTCTTGTTATTGAAGTTGAATTTGGTGAAGGCTCCCTTGTGACTAAACTCATTATGTCAGTCTGGGGCTCCGCGCATACATGTCTGAACCTCAATTATGTTGTGATCTGAGTATATTGTTTTTGATATGGTGACATTTTATATCAGATCATCATTGTTAGTGAAGGTGAGGTCTAGTGTATTCTCCAGTCTAGTAGGCTCTATTATTTGCTGGTTTAAGTTGAATTTTGTGCAGAGATTTAAAAGCTCGCGTGTGTGTGAGTTCTCGTCAGAGCTGCCTCCTGGTGTTATCACTGCAACAACATTATTTGCTATATTCCTCCATTTTAGGTGCCTCAAGTTGAAATCCCCCAGGAGCAAGATGTTGGGGGCAGGAGCTGGCAGATTTTCCAGACAGTGGTCAATTTTTAACAGCTGTTCCTGGAATTGCTGGGACATTGCATCCGGAGGCTTGTAGACTACCACAATGACTAGGTTTTAGTTCTCGATCTTTACTGCTAAAACTTCCACTACATCATTTGAGGCATTAAGCAGTTCTGTGCAAACAAGTGACTCTGCAATATACAGGCCAACCCCCCCCCCCCCCCTTTTGCCTGTTCACTCCGTCGCATCTGTATAGGTTGTAATCTGGTATCCATATTTCGTTGTCCAAGTGATCCTTTATGTGGGTCTCTGAGAAAGCCGCGAACATTGCATTTGCCTCTGCAAGCAGTCCACAGATGAAAGGTATTTTGTTGTTCGTTGCTGGCTTTAGACCCTGTATATTTGCAAAGAAGAATGTCATCGGACTGGTGGTATTGGTGGTACTGGGGGGACTTTTTTTTCCGGCACTAGTACTGCATCTGTATCTGGTATAGAAACTTGCTTCACTCTGTCCTCAAAGTGGATCCAAGTGTGGTACTTTTACAATATTGGCCTTGTACATAACAGTAAGGCCACCCACATCCCTCCTGTGTTAAAGGCTCTGCCGAAATGACAGATCTATCCAGGATTGGTCCAGGCAAGAGATGAGACATCTTGCTCTGTTCTCTACTCTGTCAAACAGTTGCAGATGAGAAGGGGGAAGGCGAACCAAGAAAGTGGAGCATACTCAAGGTGTGAGCGTACTTGTGCCTTGTACAAAATCTTGCAATCCCTGCTGTTAAGCAGATGCGAGATATGGCGAAGTGCTGTAAGCTTCCCAGCTGCCTTGTTTGCAAGATTTACAACGTGGTTTTTCATGGTCAGTTTGGAGTCCAATTTCACCCCAAAGATATCAACTTCTTCCCCAGGTGCCAACACCTTCCCATTCATCCTTACTACTGCACCGGCATTACCATCATGGTGCCTAGAGATCATCATCATTTGTGTTTTCTCAGGTGCTAATGTTACTTGCCATCTATTTCCCCAAGCTGATATAGCTCTGATCTGGTGATTGATGTAGCTTAGAGCAGCTGACATTTCTTCTCTTGGATAAGTGAATGTCAGTGCACAGTCATCGGCATATTCATGGGATTCTTGGATGAGATGAAGAAGGTCATTGAAGTAGACATTGCATAGCAATGGTCCCAGAACACTTCCTTGTGGAACACTTGGCCCAATAGGATGTCTTTTTTTTTTTTTTTTACACAGGATTTGACAAGGTTAGGTTAAGGATCCCTAGCTTTATTGACAAGCTATTTACAGGTTAAGGATTCCTAACTTTATTTACAAGCTAAGAGCTGTTACCTACATCAGCTCATTTGAAAGCATTTTTATTGTTATGTTACATACAAGTAGGGAACGGGATGAAGTTGGAACCATCTGTGGGCCAGCATTTTCATCT